CATAAAAAGGTATTCAATGTTTGTTGATAGCGTGTTCAGTTTCCTTTGGGAATTACATCAAGAAAAATTATATGATGAATTATATTTATTATTGTATATAAAGACAACAAATGAAATTTACAAATCAAGTAAAATCATGTAAAATACATCTATTGTATATAAAGACAGGCTGTGAAGTTTTTCACTAAATCAGCAAAATGATGAGGATATCTTGTTCATTACATGTATAATATAAATCATTTCCTTTTCTATATTTTTTATTATATTATCAAACTTCAACAAAAAATCTCCTTATGTCATATGCTCTCCCATCTCCTTATGTCATATGCTCTCCCATAAATGAATAAACACAAGGAGCACACGCGTCTCGAACTCGCAACATCGTGGTTACGGCGATCAATCGCCTAACCTGAACGTGCCAGTGCTCAAGCCCTCTCGGCCAACTCTAAAGTACTTTTATCATATATATTATGTCAGAAAATGCAACTTTAAATTTGGGAAGTGTTCCACTTAAAGAATTTCATTTATCATTAAGTCAACCCGACACGGGACTCTGTTCTGCTTGGGAAGTGTTCCACTTGTAGAGGTTCATTAAACATTAAGTCATTGAATCGTAAATCTTTTTTACGGTGATACCCAAGACTTGCATTGATAGCAAATGAGATATATTTGCATGAACATGTATAGGAAAATATCTTGCTTTGAATGCAAGACATGAAAGACAGGTACACCTTAAACGGATAGGTGAATAATCTGGAATTACTTTGAAAATGTTTAACAGAATAATAAAACACCAGGTACCCTTTTCAGACTTTTGCCATGACATTATGCTTTTAAGGTAATGTTTTGAACATCAAATTGGTCACACTGTTTTTTTATTTTGAAATAGTGTTAGCAGTCTGGGGGAAAAACATAGAAATTAGCTTTATTTAAAATGACCTAGGCTTGTTTCCTAGGAGCTTTGCCCAAGGCTGTTATCACTAGCATGTACCTCCTTTCAGAATTTCTTTCAATGCAATGTATTGATAAAAATCGTTTTTACATTAGACTGTGCTGAAAGTGTATATGTGTCATTGGTAAATCATTACCTTGGGACTGATTGAGTTATTTAGTTTACCAATTCTATTCGGGGAGGACCTTCTGCCGAAAGTTCTGGTAAGTTGAAAAAAGTGAAGTTTACTAATGTCATATAACATATGGAAGAACAGTTGAACTTTATTAATGCCATATTTAAAGATGGAAGAAAGAGTGAAGTTTAATATTTAACATTGAAGAAAGAGTGGATTTTTCTATTGCCATATTTCATCCTGGAGAGTAGTTTATCGATGCCATATTTCAGATGCAAAAAGTAAATATTATATTATTAAACATGGAAGAAATGTTATACTAGAACCTGCAGGAACGGATCACGTTTATTAATTGTCATATTTTTTACGTGGAATGGTAAAGATTATTATTGTCATATTTCACATGGAAAAAACCTTAACTTTATTATCATATTTTAACTTTAAGGGTTAACTCTGCATTTTGGAGTATTAAAGAAAGTTGAAGTCCTAAGTGTGCGTGTATTGTACTCATATATATTAATTTATATTAATATCACATTTGTATATTTTTAATATATATTTATTTAGGTCAAGAACAGCTACACATTATGCTATTATTATGTCCTCTTCTTACACTTAAATCTAATTGTAATAATACATTTAGCTTTTACATTTGTCTTTTTGTAGGATAAGCATGATTGTATTTCATTTTTATAACATAGTTGTGAGTAGAAAATGCATTATTGTTTTAAACAATAACACAGACACCAGTAGATACAAGGTAGTTTCCAGTTTTACCACAAGGTAGCTAATTTGGTTCGGATAATATGGCAGATATAGAAGTTTCATTGGACTTGAATACTTGAGTATTCATCAGTTTTTAGTGAATCGATAATCATATAATTTATATATATCTGATAATTATACAAATCAAAATATGTCAAGTAAAAGAAAATATTGTCTGTCCAACACAAGATATTTCACTTTTTGTTGTGATTTTATTACAGCTTACGTGCTATGCATATTTAAGACATGTAAGAGCATTCAAACTACATGTGGTTTCAACTTAAATGGTCTTCAGTTTTACCTTTGGTCGTGTCTCTCAAATGATGAAATAAAAAAAAACGACTAATTTAAGTTGTACCTGTACATATACACGACATCTTTCCTTGAATTCACCAGTATTCATTTGTGGGAACATAACATATATAATGAACTATGTAAAATTAGATTGGTAAACCAATATATAACTGACAATTATCTTTTTATAGAACGCAATGCTCTAATTTGTTAAAATAGCATTTCATTTGTTTTCTGAGTACTTTTGTTCAGGTGAATTAAATACTTGGACGTTTCATATTTATGAAGTATGATTTTAAAGTTAAACTTGGGTCTTTTAATCTGTTCTGTTCTTTCTTCATATTTACCATTTTGACTTTGTATAGGATTTTTTATGATTTACATTAAATCTTTTTACATGGACTTTAAACAAAATACTTTGAAATTGAAGGCAATGTCATATATTAAAAAGCGTATTCGTTCTGTACATTATTCAGTTATATTTAGAATTTGGAGCTTGTTAAGTATTTTATTTGCAAATACATGTCAGGATAACCTCTTGATAACAGGCAGCTATGTAGGGGCCTTGTCCAAATACCAAAGATATATTTTCAACTGCTGGTGATGGTAATTCGGAACCAAATCAACTCGGACCCTTGTCAACTCGGGCTCTTATAAGACCCTTGTCACGTTTAAAATGTGTTGTATGGATTGGAAAACTGAATCGAGTTAGAAAACTCTTTATGACATTTTAAACATTGATTTTTCGTGAGTATGTTTTGTGAGTTCTTTAAATATTAACATGAGGGTAACTAGGGTTCGAGTTGACTAGATTGCCACCAGGGTCCGAGTTGACTATTATCTGAGTTATTTGTGTTCGAGTTAACCCAAGTCTGAGTAGACTGTGTTGCCCAGACTAGAAGAAACGGAACATTTGGAAGTCAAGTGAATCGAACTAAAAAGGGTTTCTGATATCAATGATATTGATCAAATCACTTTTCATCATTGATTCATAGTTTCATTTTAATATCTCATGCTAGAGAGGTCATTATAATTGCTTCACTAATTGCAATTTTGATTTTCGCCCCGTTTCAGATTTCATTTTTTCACTGCCAATTTATATTCTCATCAAGTTTGTCTGGTCTCATTGCGCCGAAGTTCTTAAAGAGAGAATCAGATATAGCGAGCAGGCTAAACAAAAAATTGTCTCAATTTTAGAATATTTTTGGCTCATGTCATTCCTTGTCATGTCTATTTTCTAAAAATCACAAAGGTGCATGTATGTATACTTTATTCCAGGAAAACAAAGGATTTTTACAATAATGTATTATTTTTAGTAACCATTCTTATTACCTTCACCAATTTTGCAATTTATAACATGTTGTGAATCTTTTGGGAGATATTGTATTTGATATTGTAAGGAATAGATTGGTAGGTCAATTATACATGTTGCTTGTAATTTTGTCACCCCCTATAGATCAGATTCTGCCTTTAAAGTCGTATATTAAAAATCACAACTATTTGACACGACCCCCAAGACCATTGTGCTTGAGAATGAAAGTTAATATTTTACCCATATGCTATTTCAATGTAGTCAAACGACCATCAATCATTCAGCCAAACGCTACCAGGTGCCTATATATCAGAAATATCCCAGCAGAATTCCTAAACCAATGCAATGTTTCAAAACTACTTTACATTGATCAATTCCTTTATATTACTGTTCAATTAAACAGGTCTCAGTAGTACTCATCTCAAAACAGTCTCTATCATCCACCGGTTTTTCCAGAGCACATAAGTTCTTTTCTCCCTGCAAATGAGGAACCAGTTTGTTTGCCACAACAATTTTGTTATAATCTATTCCTTTTATTTTTTTTATTATTTCAGAATAGGTATTTAGCGAATAGTTCTTCACATTTTGAAGCATGTCTGCCTATCCTGAGAAATATTCCGAGTTCACGTGCTTCGACGATATTCTGGATAAAGGCAAATATGTAGACCGCCTGGATGAGAAATCTAAGAAAAAAGCCCAAGAAGAACTATGTGAGGACCCAAAAGAGAGAGATGCAGCGTTACAACAATTTAGAGACTGGATTAAGGCACAGCCACACTACACTGTGTGTACAGGTACGCAACCTTGCTCCCCAAGCCAGATCCACGCAGAATCCACGTGGATTTCACAAGGTTTCTGCGTCTGAATCCGTACGGAATAGATTCTAAGGACGTTTAGGCCTAGTTTAGCTCACGGCATACATAATTTATTTTGTTGCGACTTTTTTATTTATGTATTATTAATTTACAAAACTAAATGTTCCGCTTGATGCCTTTTTAGCCACTTGGGAGAAAATCAAAATGTTGAGAAAACGTCCACTCGCGACTCACGAGAACTTGGGGAGTATAGAGGCAATGTATTTTCAAAGTGTTATTGAAACGCGATTACTAGACAGAACATGTTGGTTAATTTGCATCATGACACTGTATGCTAGCGAAGAGATGAAAAGGGAAAAACTGGAAATCGGAGTAAAAATGAATAAAGTTTGCAACCATATCATTTCTCGACTTTTAATAAGCTTTGGATAGTCAAAATCCGTAGCAAAGAGGAATTAAGAAGAACAAAATAAGAAAAAATTAAGCGGCTAGAAAATAGTTTGAAAACAAAAGCCGCAAATCCTTATTTCCATGTAAAGCCAAAGGATTGGTATCGATATGGTGAACTTTTTGAACACATGTTTCTCTTAAACCAGTCATCAAAAAATTCTAAAAATTTTACATATCGTCAATTTAATGGTCATTGAAAAAATATATTTACTTTTCTCTATATTGTTTTAGAAAACACACGAGACACTTCTTTTGTTCTTGGTATCATATCACGCGGTCCTAACTTCGACCGTTAATTTGAATTTTTGACCTACCAGATGCTTGAAAATCAAGAATTGCGAGTCTCATACTGCACCGTTTTCTTCAAACTTATACCATTAAAAGCAAAACAAAATTGCCTTTTTGTCGGTGCATTACTTTATTGTAAAGAGTCCCTCGTTCTAGCAGCGTTTTGGTCCCCAGCTGTTAGAAGGCCTTCTTACAGCTGGGGACCACAATGCCGCTGGAAGTAGAGACTCTGTTTAAGAGTATAATGTACCATCAGAAAAGGATTTTTGTTATGAATGGAACAAGTTTGAAGAAAAACGGTGCAGTATGAGACTCGTAAACCTTGATTTTCAAACATCCGGTAGGTCAAAAATTCAAATTAACGGTCGAAGTTAGGACCGCGTGCATATGTTCGGAATGAAATTAAACATCTTTCCGAACTTCATTGGAACAAAACGACGTATAAACAACGTGTTTATGTCTCTCAATATTGTAATTGTACAAAGGAAATTTTGGTTGATTTAGAAAAGTATCTCGTTAATGAAATAAAAGAACGTTTTGTCATATTAATGCCTTATCTAAGTTCACCGGGGTAATACACATAGATTTATTTTGTAAAGTAGAATACAATCTAAAATTCATAATAACTCAGATTTAGTTATATGTTTATAATATTTAGGTTCATTAAAAGTTATGGAGTCTACAGTTAAAAATACACGTTTATTGCCTAACATTTTGTAGTTGAATGATGAGAGTAATGCGAGTCTAATCTTTCAGAGGACACATTTCTGTTGGCATTTTTGAGAAGATGCAGGTATAGCCAGTTAGAGGCGAGGACAATGTTCGATGTTTTCCATAGTGTCACTTACAAGAAGATCCCTTCTTGGATGGTGGACGTCGATAGTTCATCAACTGCCTTGAAGAAACTAATAGACACGAAGTAAACATATTCATTTTTTGTGTGTTAAAGCACGGGCTTCCATACCCTTTGCATTCGTTTGACTTCACTTCTTAAAAGAGAGCTTCGTCTTCAGTAGTTTAACTAGACTCTGCACGCAGAGTAGGGCTTTCAAGAGATAAATTAGTGTTTTAATTAATTTGTTCTTCGATATGATCATTCACCTATCATCATTCTTTATTCAAAATATAATGTTCAGATATATTACATCGCTTTCATTCATTTCTGTTTTACCCCCGATGCCTAGCTTTTAAACGATGTGGGGTATACCAGCCTTATTTCATACAATAGGGAGTTTAAGCTTACAATGTTTTTCACAATTTGTATGGGTGATTGGTCATACGTATAGGGTAGCTTTTCACTTTTATATGCAGGCTTAAACTCCCTATTATGTGAACAGACCCACGTTTATAGAAAAACGTTTATAACTGAGTCTCATAACTAATTAACTTCATATATATCGACATCTTATACATTTATACATACTATGTGTTTATGTATATGCCTTATGTCTGTTTCAGATGTCTAGTTATACCACCCTATAGAGATCCAGAAGGAAGACGCATACTCATATGGAGAGGAGGTGAATTTTAAATTACTTTCATAAAAGAGGCATTTGCCGAATTCCTAGACTTCTGTTGTTGATATAATACTTTAGGATTCATTAACATCTTTCTTAATGAGATCAAATTTGATCTACGGCAACCATACGACGGCCGTAGCTTCCCCAATATCGAAAGATATTCCAACATGCTCCAACATATCAATATCTTTACTATGGAGCTCTATGGCGCCCGTAGAGCAAATGCAAAATATATTGCGCCCGTAGAGCAAATGCGACTGAGGCTTAAATATTCTATGTTATACAGTGTACTTCCAATACTTTTAGGTGCATTTGACGCCGGTAAGAAGTCTGGCTATACTCCAGACACTTTATTCAATCTATGGGGTGTTACACTAATGCTCCTTCAACGAGAGGACATGACGCAGGTAACGCAGTAACAATACCAAATATGTAAAAGTGAAAAGTTTAACATGCAATACGTATCTTTAAATTATTCTAATTATTTCCCAGACCATCTATCTTTACCTTGCTACTGACAGAGTAAAGTAAAGAAACAGGAGTACGTTAAAGGTATGTAAATAAATGTTTCAATTTTCAGGTTAATGGTTATGTCATCATACAAGACGGTACAGGAATGACAATGAAACACATAGGATATCCGGGAATTGAACGATTTAAAGCCGTCATCAAAGTATTTTATGTGAGTAGGTTTTGTGACTTCAACAAATGCTATCATGACGACTTAATTTGATTTGATACTTTTAAGGGAGAAAACCACCCCGGTAGATTCAGTATTTTGATCGTGTAACTATTAAATAGATAAATTTATGAGACAGGATTCTTATTGAAAATTCCTATACACAGAAGTTTCAAATTTTAACCCAAAATCAACACGGATTAAAGTTTTATAGTCCGACTAAAATAAGGAAATATATACCTCTATTTTGAATGAATATTATATTGTTTGCCCCACATCATATGATACATGATGCTCCATCTTGCATGAGAACTATATTGTCTGCCCCACATCATGTGATACCTGATGCTCCATCGTGAATGAATACTATATTGTGTGTCCCACATCATGTGATATTTGATGCTCCACCTTGTATGAGTACTATAATCAGTGTCCCACATCATGCGATACTCGATGCTCCATCTTGTATGAATACTATTGTGTGTCCCACATCATATCGTCATACTTGATGCGTGATGCTCCATCTTCTAAAGCTATATCTACAACTATTTTAGATGAGTAGTGGTAAAGTATTGGGAATAAATTCAAAGGATTGGTATCGATATGGAGAACTGAATTCAACAAAGTTTTTCTCTTAAACTAATCATTGAAAACATCCTTAGAAAAATATACATATATTTTTCAAATTATATTGTTACCATTCAAAAGATGACCATTAAATTGACGATGTGCTAAATTTTTAGATTTTTTTATGACTGGCTTGAGAGAAACGTGTGTTCAAAAAGTTCTCCATATCGATACCACTCCTGTTCTAGCAGAATGAATGTCCCATGGTTTTGGATTACGTAAACGCAAACCTATACTTTTACAAGTCAGGTATGGCACTCGGGAGGAACTCAAATAACACAAAATAGTGGCAAGTATGCAGTTCGTGAGTTCCGGTTTCAAAATATGATTACAACTTAGAAATGAATCCTGCAATCGCTGGGATAT